ATGTTTTATATATAACAGAAATATAGGTATTTCACATCTATAAAATATAATCACTTCGTAAAGCCTTCATTTTCTTCAGTATCTAATAAGATAAAATCTAAACTCTTTTCCTTGAGTAAATCAAGAGCCTTTTAAATGTTATGCCAAGACATCTCAAGGTCTAATGTCTTCCATACTTATACCCTGGAGTGTCTGGAAGAGTTGCTAATAGGACATTTCGCTACCTCTGCACCTTGGTTCTTTTTATTTTTCATCATGTGTTTAATAAAAGAAAAAGGGGAGTAAATTACTTCTTATCACTTATTTAATAAAGTTTCTGATAGACTATAATTTTTATGAAGGCTTTTTCAGTCCTACCTATTTGATTTTTAGTGTTTTACAAAATGGACATAATGCATCTATGTGTACACTCAGTCTGAGGCTTTTATGGTTATTATGCTATTATATAGCATAGCTGGGAATAATACGAATGAAAGCATATGTTGGGAAAGATGAGGGAGAAGAGGCATGCAAACTTGATTTTGTAGTAAGGCATGAACTGTTGAAGAGAAGCTAAAAGTATGAAAATAATTTTTTGAACATGATTTTCAGTGCAGAAAAAAAACTACAACAGTCTGCATCCTTGTTTGCATGTGGGAGGTCTATGCACCACATGGTCCTTTGAACACTTTCATAAGGGACTTACCTGTGCAGAGCTGGAAGAGTTTCCTGAGCACAACTGGGTGTGACCCCCCCCAAAAAAAAACACACAAAAAAGTATGTGAATAGGGAAAAAATTCTGTTTGCATATAGACATTTTCTAAAATAACATTAAATTCTATGTCTCCTTTGTATTCTCCTTTTGAAATTATTTTTCCAAATGTTTATTAATTTATAAGTTTTTTCATGTCAAAAAACTACAGTGTTGTATTGAATTTTGCTGAACTGTTAACATAGATACAAAGTTCAGGAGGATACAATCCTTTTCCCCTAACAGGTAGTGGTACAGGGTAAGTCTGTACCATGTGCAAACTGGGATTCAGGTGTTCATTCCATGGTGTGGTTCAGGAATTATCATTACTTCCCTCACTTTGAGATATCTACCTATTGCTGTGCAGATAGTAATACATTCGGACTGAGGAGTTTGGTCTCAAATTTGAAATGATTTCAGGATTTTCACTCTCACTTCTGTGCATTTCCCCAGGTTTCTGAATTAGTTGCAAGGGTGCATCTAGAGGTAGGGGTGATTTTATAATGGAGAGCTCTGAAGCTCTTTGCCGTGTAACATAGGTTCTTAAAAAAGTAAAAGTTATATAAACAAAGACAACTAATACGGCAAACTATAGTGATAATTATTCGATATACAGCGTCATCCTCTATTTTACAAATGCATAGCATGTTAATATTCCTCCTTCATAGTATTTTTTGAAAGTTAAAATCCATCTTGCTTGTGTGGATCTTTTATTACATAAAATAGTCTCTTTGTCAGTCTTCCTCACTCTTGTTCTTTTCCCCTCTTATATCTTCATCAATTGATACTGTATAGCAGGGTCTCTTGGTGATTTGGGTGCTATTGTTCATACAACATATTCTGGGGAACATAATCAGACTTACTCACAAAAGCCATTGTCAATGCCTCCATTTTTTCCTACATCGCTATTAAAGATGCCGTTTATTAAATCACATCACGACTGTTTACTTCTTGATCATCCAGGGAATTATTCTAAAAATTTAAGTTTACTGCCCAGGTATCAGGGTTCTTGATTGAGTTTTATCATTTCTATTGTAATGAACACAGGAACACAGAGCCAAAAGTAGCCTGAGCAACACTGGGTATGGTGCAAGGAAAAAAAAAAAAGATGGAGAAGGAGAAAGAAAAAAAGATGAGAAAGATAACGTTAAGCACTCAGGCTTCAGCAAACAGCCTTAGTATTCTACCATCTCAAGTAATTCATTGGATGTGAAAAAGAGCATGCAATATACAATTATATATGCACATAAATATCTTGGCAATGAGTGTTGAACAAGGTGATCATATTTTCAACCATTTTTCCTTCAGAATTGAATTAGTATTACCAGCAGCTTCCTAGAAAGATTAAGATGAGAAAGCTTCATTTCTCTTTATCTTTGATTCAGAGATGTTTAATTTCCTCTTTGTTTTTGTTTCTCTTATTAGCAATAAATTATCTCTAGTGTGTAATATAATGAAACTTATGGCATTGACTTGAGGGCTGTGACAACCAAGTAATGTTTGGTATTTTTATCTTTCTTTCCAGTCAAACCCTGTGATATCTATCACCTAACCTCAGCCTTTGTATTATTTAGTATTTCATATTAAACCATTTTTGCTAGACTTTATTTAAATCAGTAATACTGAGACAATTTATCATTTTGCAAATGTATGCATAATTTATAAATGTATATATTTGCATATATGTGTATAATATAAGAATTAACATTTCGAGGACTTTAAATAAAAAAGCTTATCTGAGAGAAATGTACTGCATCACAATCATTTATAGATGCCTTAAGATTGAGATACGTAACATGTTTGCCACTCAATGCCTCTGTTGCAGACCACAACACCCAAAAGGAGAGAGAGAACACAGGGGATTGCCCTGCCACAGAGACAGGGGGGATGGGGGGATGGGGGTGGGAGGGATATTATCCATGGTGGTGGAAAATGGGCACTGGTGGAGGGATGGGTATCTGATCATTGTATAATTGAAACCAAAGCACAAAAAATTGTAAATCTACAACTTTAAAAAAAATAAAATAAAATAAAGGGAAAAAAAAAAAGATTGAGATACGCATTAATTATCCAAATACCTACATCAAAACAATTTCCAATTTTAAATGTATTTTTTAAATTTGACTTGTCTATATTGCACCACTCATGTAAGTGATGTAATCTTATGCGTAATCATTATTTTATTCAATAAATATTCACTGAGTGGCCATCATGTTTCAATAATGTGCTAATCTGTCTGGAACAATGAGAGCAAATAAACTAAGATGAGATCGATCTAGAAGTGGGAAACAGCCCAAAAGTAAACAAAAATGTTTATATGTTTGATTATATAACATATACAGTGGTTATTGAACATCTCTGAGACAAGCAAAGCCTGGTAAGAATGAGTGAATTCTTGCTTAAATATATTAGTAAGGGAAAACTCTCACAAGTGACACGAAGTGAGGAATGAGGAAATGGACGATAGAATAATTAGGAAAATTAGATCCCTCTAGAGGAAGAATCGTATAAGAGCCTTAGGCAGCAATGTAGTTGTCATATTCAGTGTGCTATGAGCATAATGACACAAAGAGACAATAACGTAGACAAACCTAAAATATACTGTGTTAACAAAATAGTAATTCTTGACTTTTCCCTTTGGAATATGTGAAGCTAGTGATGAATTGTTAAGGACTGGATTTATATGATTCAGTTGATTTCCATAAGATTTATTTGACTGCTCTGTGGAAAATTAAAAGAAATAGAGAAACCAGAATGCAAAGAACGTTCAAAAATGTTTAATGAGAGATGGTGATCACTTTAACTACATTTTTAACTGGACATCTGTAGAAATGCTCAAATTCTGGATATATTGTATAAGTAGAAGTGAAAGGATTATCTATAGATTCAACATTAGATGTCAGAGAAAGGAGAGAACTGTACTCTTCTCAGTATAAATAATACCGCAGCATTGTTATTTATGTAAACAAAAAAGATGAAAATGGAGCACGTCTGAGTCAGAAAATAAGACAGTTGCCCAGCGGGTAGTGCATTTTCCTTGCATGTAGCAGACCTGGCCAACCCAGGTTCGATTCCTCCACCTCTCTCGGAGAGCCTGGCAAGCTACCTGTGATGCATTCCATATGCCAAACACAGTAACAAGAAGTCTCACAATGGAGACGTTATTGGGCCCGCTCGAGCAAATCGAAGTACAATGGGAGGACAGTACTACAGTGCTACAGTTTGATATATGGTCCAGAGTAAAAGGTGACAAAGCTGGTCATATAATTTGGAAATCTTTGGAGAAGACATGATATCCAAGTTGTGGGCACAGATTAGGATTTCTGAGAAGTCTGAAACAAAAAAAGAAATTATAAGAACAGTTCCAGTGATCTCTAGGATTAGTGGTTGAGAAAATACAGAGGTAAAATAGACAGAAGCTAAAGAGTGATGCAACATCCCGGCAGAGTGAAATGTTTGTAGGAACAGGAAATCAGCAAAGTGCTGCTAAAATGAAACGGAGCCCTGTTTGAAAAATATCAAGATATTGTCAAAAGCTGTTTTAGTAAGTATCACAGTCATGAGTGGATCCACGTCAGATAGGTTATCACTCTTTTCAAGACATTTTGCTGTAAATAAGCAGAGGAAGAGTTAGTTACTAGGAGAAAATATGAATCAAAGGATAATTTCTTGAGGTTTGGAGATAAATAATAAAGAGTGATGTAATTATTGATGCAGGAAAATTTTATTTTAGTAAAAATGAAAGAAAAGCATCTTTTTGTCAATTGTAGAAATGTAAAAACATCTAAAAATATTTAAGTACAAAGAAGTAGTTTATGAATTTAGGAAACATAGGAGCTCATTGGTGGTATGGCTAGAGGGAGAAAAAATATAATTTCAATGTTTGGAAGTGAGAATAAAAGTGATGCATATTTCTTTAGGTAAGAAGTCATACACAACTGACTAGATTATCACCTATTTGACACTTATTTTTGGAAAGAGATCTTTAATAACTCTCCTTTGGACATAGTCTGAAATAGTACACTTGAACTTTAGGGGAAATTTAATTTATAAGAAAGTAGAACATACATAAAGTACAGAGGTTTTATGGGAAAATGGTGGCACTCTTTGTCAATGACCTGTTTTTTTCTTACTAAACGTACTTGTGTTTTATGCCTGCAGGTTCTTGGGATAGTATGTTAGTATGCATTGTGCTTTCAAATTCCATATGCGTTTCTGGATTGGTTCTTCCTGCTTGCAGTAACAGTGATTGCTCTCTAATCTGTTGCAGTGTGCCTGAGTACTATGACTATGGTCATGGAGTAAATGACGATGCCTATGACAACTACGGTAAGACCTTTTCTTTACTAAAACTGTAAAATCAGAACATCTATCAGTAACTGACAATTCAGAAATTACTTCTTCCCCCCCCCTACCAACAGTATTTTTTTATAAAAGTCCAAACTAAATTGATTTATGTAATTCTAGGGTAAGATTTGACATACAGAGCCAGTGCCAGAAAATTGGACAGATCAATTTTGATCAAAATTTCAAAAGCAATTAATCATAATCATAGATCATTTTCAACAGCATTCTGAATAGTGACTCATGTTTCACTGTGTGCATTGTCTGACTCACTGATTTAATAACAATGATGTGTCATATGTGCTTTCTAAAGATCATTATTAGAGTATACATTTAAAATCTTTTAAAATATTCCAAGGCAAAAGTGGTAGCTTTTAGGATATTTTTATAGCATCTTAAGCTTTGAAAGTGCCAGGTAATGCTTAGCACATAAGATATAATATACCATAAAATTTCATTCTGAAAAGTTTTTAAATAATTGTTTAATTAAAATACAACTTAAAATTAGCCAGAATTGAGTAATTATTTTGAATGCCAATAAAATATGAATGTATATATTACTTTACTTTTGAAGGATACTTTCTGTTTCTTCAAAATAAATATGCAGCTTTGAAAAATAAAATAATTAAATGTTTAGAGCCCCTACTTATTATAGAAATAATATCAAAGCCTCTCTCTTTTTTTTATGAGAAGTAATGTAGATAATGAATGTTGTCTCTGTGCTCAGGACTCCATTTGATAAAGATATAGTGCTTCATCAGAATGGTAAGAGGAAGGTCCATAGATCTGGAGGTAAAGAAAAAAACATCCTTTTAAAAACAGTCACCAGATCAACTCAATTTTCTGGATGTAATATTATGTGAACTAAGGTAGAAAAAGCAGTAGAAAAATAAACAACCATAATGATTGTCATTCATAAACTATTACTTACAGATATATAATTCATCATTTATTTTTGCAATAAATTGATATATTAAGTATCTTTCTCTCTAATTTATAATGAGATAGTTGTACATTGGGCTGGAGTGATAGCCCAGTGGGTAGGGCATTTGCCTTGCACATGGCCGACCCTGGTTTGATTCCTCCGCCCCTCTCGGAGAGCCTGGCAAGCTACCGAGAGTATCTCACCCACACAGCAAAGCCTGGCAAGCTCCCCGTGGCATATTCGATATGCCAAACACAGTAACAACAAGCCTCACAGTGGGGCTGTTACTGGGCCCACTTGATTAAATCGATGAACAACAGGAGGACAGTGACAGTGACCGTTGTACATTGGTGACTGAAGCAACAATTTATTGTAAATTCATCGTGACTGTGAAACCCAGTTTTTGTTTTGCATGGTCCAAAGTGGCTAGAATGCTAATAATTGCTTCCATACATTTAAAGTACCTATTATGACTTGTACTAAATTTTATAATTAAGATCAAAGAATGTAGATATCTTTATTTGAATTTATATGTATATCTAGATAATTATTCTGCATAGACTCCTACTGGTTACATGCTCATATTGTCACTTACATTTTACAAATAAAAAGCCAATGAGTATAGCATTAAATAGCCTCTCTAAACAGCAAATTAAGAGCAAGAGTATAAACTCAAATATATCTATATTTTTTTTCCCTACTGCTATTGTTAGGGCCTACAAAAATCTTTTGGACTCTGTAAAAAAGAATAGGGTATATAACTTAAAAAACAGTATCTAGGGATTTAAGTTTATAAAGGATGTTCAGTTTAGTTAGATTCTTTAAATCCTGCTTTTTGCTGCCCCATTAAGCTAGAGGATATAGGTCTTTTTTGTTATTTTTACATGTAAAAAGACATAATGCAAAATGAACACTATCTTCCAGACTTCAACTTAGTCAGCACCACTCCAATTGACCTCATAACCATGAAAGATGGGAATATTCTAAAAAACAGTTTAAACGGGGCTGGAGCAATAGCACGGCGGGTAGGGCGCTTACCTTGCAAGCAGCCAACATGGCCAACCCAGGTTCGATTCCCAGCATCCCATATGGTCCCCCGAGCATCGCCAGGAGTAATTCCTGAGTGCAGAGCCAGGAGTAACCCCTGAGCATCGCCGGGTGCGACCCAAAAAGCAAAAAAATAAATAAATAAATAATAAAAGTGTAATTTTAAAAAAGAAAAAAACAGTTTAAACATATTTCCAGACAGTATTTCATAGGAAAAGTAGATCATGGACAAATTTGCATTATTCTGTCTCAGCCAGAATGCTCCCATAAAAATACATGTTTAATTTATATATATGTATATCTGTATATATATATAAATATATGTGTGTACATATATATATGTATATGTATAAATTAACTTACTGAAAGAAGAAGGTAAAACTCATCATATGGTGTTTAATGAGTGCTATTTAATCAGAGCAAAATTTGAGCTTTTCTGAAAAGTCTTATCAGGTGACAGACTGAACTGAGTAGAAGATGCCTACCTCCTAGAGCATGTCAGAACGCTAACAGTCTAGCATTCTCTGAGTTTAACAGAGCAATACATTCCCCTCTGTAGTTCTTCCGAGCACACTCTTAACTAAATGGATCCTAAATGTGGTATTTTTGTACTCAGGGGTTGTAACATTGTGCATTTTAGACATTGTTCTTACATGTTACATATAAAAATTACACATATATATTTTTATATAAAAAGGGCTGGAGTGATAGCACAGCAGGTAGGGCTTTTGCCTTGCATGCGGCTGACCGGGGTTCAATTTCTCTGTCCCTCTGGGAGAGGCCAGTAAGCTACTGAGAGTATCCTACCCACACGGCAGAGCCTGGCGAGCTCCCGTGACGCATTCGTTATGCCAAAAACATTAACAAGTCTCACAATTGGAGACATTATTGGTGCCTGCTCGAGCAAATCAATGAACAACGAGGGGCAGTGCTACAGTGGTATATATAAAATAGTGGAATGCTATGTAGCTATATATGTCTTTGCTATTCAACTCTGTTTGTCCTTATGAAAGGACAGAATCAAGTAATTTTCTGCTACGTGGATGAAACCAGGGGGTACCACGTTGAGTAGTCACTGAGAAGGAAAGGGGTGGATATAGAATGATCTCTTTCATATGTAGTATTTAAAGACAGAGTCAGAGCAAATGGCCAGAGGCAATAGAACTGGAAAGTTGGTCTGTAGAACTGAGTTGGAGGAGGTGGGGATCAAGGAGAGAAAAATTAACAGAAGCTGTGTTTGGAGCCTCAGGGGAGGGAAGTGGGTCCTCTGCTCCTCCTGGTTGTGGTATTCGAAGCATTCATGCATCAAGACATCATTAACAGTATTGTAAATCACAGAACCTTAGTAAAGATTCAAAAGTACTGTCAGACTATAGATAGGTAATGAAGCAATTTGACAGAAAAGAATCTTTTAACAATATTTATTAAAAGAGGAATATATATAAGCCTTTGTTCTCACTTCTGAAGATATCGTTTACATTCTAGTAAAAAAAACATTAACTTTCATAAATAAGTTTAAATGGAGCTTTGATTTGCAGAATATGGTCATTTATTTTTCAGTGGCTACATCAATTTGAGAAAAATCAGACCTATGAGTTTTATTTTCTAGAATCACATGGACTTAAATCAGAAAAGGCTCTGAATTTAATGATATCTGACAATTGGTAATAGAAGATGTAGTTATATCTCAGTTATTTACATTGAAAATGTTGATTCCATGCAAAGTAATAGATAATAGTATGAATGTAAATGATTTCTTTTCCTCGTGAAGATGTAAGAGCATTACCAGGTGGACCAGAGGTCATTGCTGCTAACTATAGATCTGACATTCCTCTTTCTTCTGCTCCAGGAAATCATAGAAACAATTTTTGTTTTACAAGTGACACCTTCAAAATAACTCTTAATTTGACTGTGAGTCAAAGTATAACTTAGCAACAAGCAATTCTTTGCATAAAGATATCAGTTAATATTCTTTTTAATTATGTAAAGAGGAAAATGCAAAAAACAAAATTCCCCATCTGAGCAGAGTGAGGGAGTATTAAGCAGTTATTTTTTTTACTTAATAACATTGCTCATTTTACTCAAAATTTTAGCCAAAGTGGCCTTCTCATTAATGTTGGAAGACTAGATATATCATCTAAAAACAAACTGATCTTTAGCCCATGATTTTTACTTTGGCCAGTACTAGGATGTATTCCCATTTTACAGCATTATTGAACAAGTATTGATTCAAGAATCAACTTCACATTCAAGATATTTTTATTCCATGTTTGGAAATGTTGATTGGGGGCCAGAGTGATAGTACAGCAGGAAGGGTGTTTGCCTTGTAAGTGGCCGACCTGGATTCAATCTCTGGCTTCACATATGGTCCCCCAAGCACTGCCAGAAGTGATTCCTGAGTGCAGAGCCAGGAGTACCCCTAAACATTAGCGGATGTGACACAAAGAGAAAAAAGAAAGAAAGAATATGTTGATTTGTCAACTTTATAGCATGGCGGTAGGGCGTTTGCCTTGCACGCAGCCAGCCTGGCCGAGCCAGGTTCAATTCCTCTGCCCCCTCTCAGAGAGCCTGGCAAGCTACCGAGAGTATTCAAAATGCCAAACACAGTAACAAGAAGTCTCACAATGGAGACGTTACTGGGCCCGCTCGACCAAATCGATGAACAACGGGAGGACAGTGTTTGTTTTGTTTTCATTCTTTGGGCTTGGAAATATGAATTTTCTTCTGGGAAATTCTTAATTTTTATGTCAGGATAATTATTCTGGACAGAACATGTTATTATTTGGTTCAGAGAAGATGACATTTCACGGGCTAAGGCAAAGAGACCTTTCCAATGCATGAAACATCAGGCAAGAGAGATATAACAGAGGGTAAGGAACTAGCCTTGCATGTACAATCAACCTAACTTCAATGCAGCACCACATATGGTGTCCAATGCCTTGCCAGGGCTGGTCCCTAAACACAGAACCAAGAGCATAGATCGTTGGCTGTAATCCAAAAACGACAATGACAA